CTTTTTACATTTGAGCCCCTGCCCCCAAGGAACTCTCTGCATTATTTGATCAAAAATACATTAAAACAGTGTGAAATATTACAATTTAAAATATCATTTTTTCATTGGATATAGTCACATGATCATTCAGAAATGTTATAGTGTATCCAAAAAACTTAAGTCGCATCACAAATTTTCACAAATAACTCTCACATTGTGATTATGATGGACAAAGTTGCCTTTCTCCAAGTAACAGGCATTTTCATGAGCACCATTGCAGAACAATCATGCCTGTGAAACTTACCTGCAATTCCCGACTCTCTGGTGGATAAGACAGCGCTCCTGGTGGATATGGAACATATCCAACATGTTCCCTGAAGGCTCCTGGTGCAGGGGGTCTCAGGCTCACCAGCACTGCCGGGAACATGTATCGGTCCGTGTACTGCGGGTGCATGGGAAGAGGGATTGCGAACATCTCTGCTGGATACATTTGCCCAGGGTATGCCTCTTTAATTATGTACTCTCCAGGAAAAGGTGGTGAATCTGTGGATGTATGCAGTAGTAGGCTAAACAACATTCGGTTATGCTTTCAAATAACTTTTAAACATTTGCACACATCATTCAATGCTTAAAAGATGTATTCTAAAAATGTTTTGGCATGTAACAAAAAATAGTTAATTTTAACTATATTATGCAAATAAAAGTTAAATGGTGAGACTAAACAGCCAATAGACTGGAAGTCCTGCCTTACAGTTAAAAGAGTCAGCCAATCATCTTTTCTTAATAGAGACAATGCCTGTTTGTTTAAAAAATATAATTGTCTTTTCTGACCATAAATGTGATCAAACTGAATATAGCCTAAGACATACACTTTACGAACACGCATGAACCCTGAGTAGGTTACAAACCATCTCTTTTTTTTAAGTAAATAATGCCTATTTATGAATTTATTTTCAAAAATACAAGTGGATTTGCAATGCATGAAAGGTTCATTAGATTTTGATTTATTTGATTTCTATTTGATTTCTATTATGTGAATTGTACATGGAATGTAAACTATACTGATCCCTTTTTAATCATATTCTTAATGTTCCCTACAATTATTCAGGTCTATTATATAATGTTTTACTTGTGTACATAACAGATTAGAAACACGCTGTAGTCTGTACCCAAGAGTCATTGGCCGGTGTAGCCTAGTGGTTAAATAGAGTGCTGGTGTAACGTTAGGTATAACATTACTTTGTATTGTAGGCCAAAATGCAGAAACGAGTAAGCATTTTGGGTAGCTTGATGTAATGTCAATTGTATGCTTGATAAAAACAAAACATGATTTGTCGAAGGAACCAGTGTGGTGCGAGCTGGCGGTTGGCCTGCGAAGTGACGTCATACCTGCACTAGGCTATTTAAACATGAAGGTTAAAAAAATGGTAAGAGTTGAAATAAAATAATTACTAATTAGAAATTAAGGTTTTAAAACGGCACAAACCTCCAATGACGCCGCTCGGTCCTGCGGGTGTCTTCAGATCACCATAAACCGCGCCCGAGATAACGGGACCGCGGAGGTCAGTGTACGTTGTATCACTAGTGCCGTATCGAGTAACAGGCGCATTGATAGCATTAATCTTTCTAGCGCTGACGTCGGTTTCGCCGTTCACTCCTTTAGTTGAAGTATTACCCGTTTTTCTGTCAGACAGAGCGGTCTTCTCGGGACGGTCGATAGCCGGTGACTCGTGTCCCTGAACGGATTTGATCCGTCTCTGAGATGCCAGGATTTTTGTCCGTTCGTTGATGAGAGCACACTTCCAGCACACGCACTGCCTGAACTGACATTTTCCCGAATGGCCTTTTAGCAGCACTACGAAGCCGTGGTTACGGCATCTCGCGCACTTCGGACTGCGCGCGGCTTTTCCGGCCGTTATTCGATCATTCGGTGCTGAAATATTTGCCATAGCCAAACACCACGAATTTCAGTATCACTGAAATATGAAATAAATGTGTCACATTTGCAATAAATTTCGTTTGCAAGGGGTGTGTCCTCCAAACTCTTGAATTTGGCTCAAACGATTCACGTGATGCTGAGTGGCTACACTTTCTCACGCTCGGTTGTCTAGACTCGGGGGAATTCCCCTAAAGCCAGGTGCGACTGTTACTTTTGACTTGCATTTTTTTACCAAAAGAAGCACATTTATGACAAACTGGCAAAAATGAAAGCTTTTCATTTTATATTCAACAAAAATCACTGAAATATGATTAATGTGGATTATTCAATTGGGCATGTAACCTATTACTTGAAAATATCTGACGGTTCAAGCAGGGTATGTGATAAAGACAAAAATGTGATAAAGGCATCTTCAAAAGTTCAAAGACATTGCAGTTTTGTTTGCATGTGTTGTGAGAACATTATAACGTTTTTTTTTTTAGATTCATGTCTATTGTAGTAAATCTGCATGCAGACACCCAACTTTGCACATTTATCCCTGGCCTGGAGGATCATGTTCTGAGTTCAGCTCCGATCAATTCCAACACATTTTCCTGGACATCTAGATATTCTGAAGATCTTGCTTAGCTGGTTTAGGTGTGTTTAACTACCCTAGCTAAACTTTGCAGGACATTTGCCCTGACATTGGCTTGTTAGGCTACATTAGCTAAATGAAAGTGATTTATCAACAGCTAGTACATCTTAAATATAGAGCTCATGACAAATACTTTGTAAAAGTTCCAGATGGACAAACATTAAAATCAAAAACCAGTGTGAATAACAATATCTTTAAATGAACTAGAGTGGCAAATTTTGAAGTAGGGTTCAAGTTTTAACTGTACAGCTTGTGTAAAACTTATTCTCATACGGCCTATTTATGAATGAAATTCATGTACTGATGCGAATAAGGAAAGAGAGTAAAGATTTATTATCCTGTCGTCCCCTCTAGTGGGCAGCATTAAGTATTACGGCCTTCATTGCTCAGATGGTCAATGGGAAGTCAATGGGATTTTTTTTGGGATAGGACATTTCCTGTCAGATGTCAAATAGACGTTTAGAAGATGTCTTTAAGATGTAATGATTTAGAATGCATGTTAAACTGACATCTTCTAAACATCTATTTGACATCTGACAGGAAACGTATAGACGTATTGCAGATGAGCAAACACTCTTAAAAATACGTTTTCCAGATGTAAAAATCACATCAAATAGACTTGTGCTATCTGGGAAATTACCTAAAAAGCCAGAATGCCAGATCAGTATAATTTAAGTAAGACTGATTGCTGGTTAAAGGGATAATTCACCCCAAAATGTAAATGTTGTCATCACTCACTCTCATGTTGTTCCAAACCTGAATGTGTTTCTTTCTTCTGTTGAGCACAAAAGATGATATTTTAAATAATGTTGGTAACCAGATGGGCAACCCTGAATAGTCAAATTCTGACATCTTCATCTATTTCTCTGCTACACAGAGCTTTAAAAAGACATCCAGTCTTTTGGTTTCAGTTTGGTTCACTTATAGTTCACACAATGCAGCATCTAATTGTTCCTCATTAGTTTACAAAATACCACATTGATTCATTTGAATACATGTGTATTCTGATCTAGGTGCAATTAGGTAAAACTTTTTTTCAAAGCATCTGCTCAAATTTTATTTTTAAACTTGTTCCGTATATTTTCTTTCAGTGGCATTTTGTGTGTATCCCTAAAGTGGATTGGCTGCCAGTTTACATAATCTGGTTACATGACAATAGGGTCTTTGACCCTGTACATTTACTTCGCTGTGGTTGGCTACATTCACAGTTAAGCAGTCGGGGGAGGGGGTTGAGTTCAGCCCCATCTTACTATTAAAATGACTGATTATCCTGTCAGGGTCGCTCATGGCCTAGTTTTGACTGACAGAATTGTTCATGCTGGCACAGTGCCACAGATGCAGTCTATATTACTGTAACTCTTTTACAAGGTCACCTAACCCCATTATCCTAAAAAGGGTTATAATTAATGCAATTTAAAAACTGATCATCTCATACTTCTTCTGCCTTGCTTCCTTTCTGTATATTGCTTCAGGGTGATTCGCTTTTTGAGGATATGCACGTGAACATACCGGAAGGGTGGTGCTATGTTTCATGAGATTTTTAGGCTAAGGGGGCGGGGCGTTTACACGACACCATTTTCAACTAAAAACTTTTTATGCGTTTTGGACGTTCATTTACGCGGCAAGCGTTTTGGAAGCCTGAAAACGCAAACTACAATAACACGAATTTGTGAAAACGGTGATGTCATGTACATGCGTGTTACGTGTTCAGTCTACAAGCGCGTAGCGTATCTTTACAAAGTGACATCGCCAACTACTGGCCTGGCAGCAGAATACAGCGTTTAGTTGTTTCGGGATCTGTGTGAACGGGATCGTTTTGACATCATTGTTATCAGTACACAAAACGCAAAGGAAAAATGTTCCTGTTTTTAGTGCATCGTTGTCATGTAAATGTACCCTTATTTGTTCATGCGCTCAATGTCTGTTTTCAAAGTTTGGAAATTCACAGGAAAAAATATATAATATATAGATTAAATGAACTGTACTGTTAGTCACTTTAGCATCAGTGAAATTAATAAATATAATGAAATTTATTCTTGTTATTATTCTTGCCAAAAATCTCTACCATTCATTCATTCATTCATTCATAACAGTTAGCCTACATGTTACTCTTTTTATGTATATAAAAAAATTAAACAATAACGTTATATATAACAGACGTAAATGTAAACACTATTTTAAATAAAAAGAAAATATTTATTTTATATAAAATAAACTGGCTGGCTGGCTAAATAAATAAATAAATGAAATTGGGGAACTTGTAAACTAAGGTTTTAAATGATGACAAAAAAAAAATCTCTACATAATAATAATACCATAATTGTTATTGCATTGACTCCATCATGCCTCATATTCTGATTCTATCTAGCATGTTTGATGGCACACTATCCTTCAGTGCAGTTATTCATACTCGCTTACGTTTGATGTCGTCATTGATTCAAATTGCCAGTGAATCTATTGGAGATTCAGTGAAGGAGCGACGCCATCCGGACACGCTTTTGTTTGTGGATGAACACACCAACCCGTTTCGGAAATGTGGACAGAAATTGGGAAATTATTATTTTTTCATTTCTTACTTTCGGAATTATACTTAGCCAAAGGTTTGTTGTATTCTCTTTTTTTTCGGACGTGAAATAATCAGAAGCCCATTTAATAGACTGTGAATAATGCTGTGTTGGTTATTTAGGGGATGCGCGAGACGAAACACTTGTTCTACGCGGGCAGCCTTGTTTCCACATTTCTATAAACAAACACAGCACTTGATTAAATAATCTAGTTTGCACGAGTAAAATATTAAAGGTTGATGATGCCGCAGCATGAATTTATTGTTTCATATTCGTACCCATCCTAACAGAAACATTTTTGTCTGAAATAGGAATGAAAGAAAGGTTTGAGTGTGTGTTTTTCGTTTTCTTTGTCATGGCTTCATTGAAGTGCGCGTGTAGTAATTGCTGGTCAAAGCACATTGTGTTTGGATTTGCTCGGTTCAGTCATGTGTTATTGTGCAGTAGTAGATATATTGCGCTCCTTTCATGTAGCTAATGGTTGCAGGTTTTAGTGGTTTGAGTGGAAGAGCAAATGTAATTCTCTTCACTGTTGTTCTCAGGTACCGAAACTGGCACTGAGACGGAGTGCGAGGATGGACAGTTTCAGTGTAACAACATGAGATGTATTCCCACCATATGGAGATGCGATGATGATGATGACTGCTCTGACAACAGCGATGAGGAAAACTGCCGTGAGTAGCGTTTAGCTACTCTCACTGACATAGTGCGTGTGCGTGTGTGTGTGTGTGTGTGTGTGGGAACAGCAGCCGTGCAGAACGAGATGTCAAAATCAGCCCAAAGCATTACTTCTTTGTTTAAGTGACTTTCAAATAATAACTGATTAGCACCAAAAGCTATAATCAATTATTTCAAAAGCCTTTTTGAATTAGTTTCATGTTAGTGAATGAGTAGCTAATAGATGTTGTTGTCACACTCTTCACTCCAGTTATTCTTCACAGAATATTTGTTAAATGTCGATTTTTGTAATATAGAGACCTTTTACAGTCTATGGTAGAGACATGTATCTACAATATACACCACTTTGCAAATGCTGGGGTCAGTAAGATTCGTTTATATTTTTGAAATAAGTCACCAAGGCTGTATTTTTGATCAATATAATACATTTAAAACAATAATATTGTGAAATATCACAATTTAAAATAACCGATTTCTAATTGAATACATATTTTTTTTAAAAATGTAATTTATTCCTGTGATGGTAAAGCTGTAATTTCAGCATCATTACTCCAGTCTTCAGTGTCACATGATCCTTCAGAAATCATTTAATGCTCAAGCAAACAAACAATTCTTATTATTATTAAGGTTGGAAACAAACAGTTGTGCTGCTTAATGTGAAAATTGCTTTTAAGGATCCTTTAATGTATAGAAAGTTCCAAAGAACAGCATTAATTTGAAATAGAAAACCTTTGTAACATTATAAATGTCTTTACTGTCACTTTAGATCAATTTAATGCTTCCTTACTGGAATAAAGTTTTAATTTCTAATTAATATATATATATATATACTGACCACAAACTTTTGAACAGTAGTGTATATAACAGTATCCATTTGCATGTTCACATACCTGAAGAGTACCCAAATTTTAAACTTATTGCACCTGATTTTACTGTTTACCGAGCATAAATATGCAAACAAAAAATGGTGAAATTCATCCAGCAAGGCATTCCATGCATCGTTTTTTCATTAGGTGGTTAATTGCAGTACAAGAACAGGCCATGTATATGTGTTCAGTACCGTAACTTTTCCCTTATTTGTCAAGTGCGTCTTGCCTCGTTGCGTCAGGTTTTTTTCCAGTGGCTCTAAGCTAAAACAGGCCAAAAGGAGTGCTTGTTTTCCTAAGCAGTTTATGTGTCACCGCATCATGGGCCTGTTGAGTTTACTGTTTTGACTGATCCTTCAATTGCTCTCAACAAAGTGCAGTCATGCAGTCTGAAGTTATTGTATCCAAGCTATGTAACACGTCCATGTGGGATCCTATCTGTCAGAACAGGAAATGTTCTCCACTTTATTAACCTATAATACAAAATAGGTATATCAAAAGTTTTTTTTTTTTTTTGTCTGGACAACAAAACAGTTTAATTTGTGTATAAGGTATTAATAAAAATATGTATTTATTATGATATATTTATAGGTTTTTTATATATATATTTATTTTATAGAACAGAATTAAAATGAAGCTATTTAAAACTGAGCTTGGTTTTCTGGCGTTACAACTACATAAATATATTCTTGTATATAAATACACACCCTGTTTCAACAACTATAGGCACAGACAGAGCTGACCTCCGCCCTAACGGATTCCCCTGATGCTCTTTCGTCCTCCCCCCCCCATGTCCCTTTTATCCTCCCCCTACACAACCATCCCAACCCCCATGTCAAATCCAACAGATACATCTGCACACTGTCTATACATCCGCCTCTAATGCATGACAAGGCCATGCGTACACGTAAAATCGTGTGCCGTGTTCATAATTAAAATGATTCGTGACCTGCCCTCATGCAGCCGTTTGATCATTTGTCATAAGGATGAGTCATATTTGCCAGGCTTATTGAGTGCTGAACTATCTTTCTGCAGTATGAAATGATTAATAATATAAAACTAAGAGTGTAAATTGCATCAGAAGTGATAATTGTGAAAAGCAGCGCATTAAGTATAGAAGCGGCTTTGTTTTAGGACTCAGATTTTACTTTGGGTATCGTTGAGTGTACACAAAATAAACAAAAATGTCTTAGTCAAAAATCCAACATAGAAATGCATTACTGTACATTACTCTTCATTACATTACTTTTGGCCCAACCGAAGCACCATACAGTAATAGATTTTTTAGTTAGTAATTCAGTAACTTTTAAGTTATTTAGTTAGAATATTTGGTAATTTGAATATATATATATATATATATATATAAATTCTTTCATTCAACACTAGATGGCGCAGGCTTCTTTAATCTGCTTACAATCACACCATTATCTATTGGGCACAGCTGATTGGTTCTTGCTGTATCAGTTCGCTGTTCAACCTTCAAATACTTAGTTAGCTTTGCCTTAGCAGTTGCAGCACACTTTTAGAAACCCTCCATCTTCCCCAGCTCTGTATATATCTGCTATGGGTAATTCAATATGCTAATTTGTACAACAGCAGCATTTCTTACTCGCTCACAGCAGCAGCAATAATAACAACAGCAGCAGCATAGCAGATCTCTTCTGCCAAGACCAAACATGTCAGTAACATTGTTCATTACCATGACAAACACTCCGAGAGTTGTCATTTCAGAAATACATATGCACTACTGTTAAATGTCCCATGACATGGGGTTATTTGATTATTTTATAATGTTTCCTGGGTTGCCCTTTTAATGTTAGTATGTTTTTTTTAGATCAAAAATAGTCATCATTAAATAAAATAAATGGCATTTTTCCTAGCCTGATTTTAGCCTCTGATTTGACACTCTGTTTGAAGGGGCGTGTCTGCTGTGGGATTCAGTGCAACTGGCCACTGCTGTGATTGGCTGACATGGTTGCATATGAAATAGCTATATATTACATGTGAAACTCTCTCGAATACTTTTACTACAGCTATTACTTTTACGTCTATCGAGATTAACAAATCGTGAGAAGTTTTTCAAGTATTTAGATCTATTGCCATCACATACATTTTGCCGTGATGAGCATTAAGCAAGCAGATGACAGTCTGTTGATCGCGAGAATGAAGATCTTATGTTTGTAACGGAGTCTCTGCACTCTCTCTAATGCTTTCACCAATGCAAACATGATGATACAGTACAGCTTCGTTGTGCATTGTAACGTGCATCATTGATTTCATAAAGAGTTGTCCAGATAAACTAGCGCTCTGTGGAAAGCTCTGTGTTCGTTTTCTGCATAATTTGTTCACAATTTAAATAAGATTATTTTCATCCTACTAAAAGAAACAATGTGAAGTTGATATTTTAGTCACTGGCTTGACTAACTGGTGCATAAACAGTATTGAACGATTTTGATAGAAAGATTAACTTACCTGTCTGGACTTGAACAATACATCAGAAATTGTTGCGATTTATTTTCAGACATTCATCGAGGCCAGCTCTGTATTGGCCCAAGTTAATGAACCAGTCATCGGTGAAATGTTTGTACCATACAAAACTTTGGGAAGAAAAAATAAACATTTCCATTTCCAGAGAAAATAAAATTAACCCATTGTTTCTTCAGAGGCTTAGATGAAGGAACTAAAAAATACTTTTGTGTTCATTTGTACAGCCGAAGACTGATCAACTGCCATGCTTCGCTCGTTTGCAAGCCATGATATCTCGAGGAAAAAATCAAATCTCAAAGCTCATTTTCTCATGGGTGAGCCACATTCTCTGGGCGGGCAAAGCAGAGAAAGGGGAGGTTACCTTTCCTCTGAGTGATGTCATATGGAGGATATTCAAGATCGTCAGAGCTTTCATTTTCTCAAAGGCAGAGAAAGATAGCCAAAACTCGGTTTACACCGATTGAAATTTCTAGCCACTGGGGGACCATATACAGGCTAGGGGAACTCATATTAATGTTAAAAAACCTCAGAAAGTGAAAAATTCATGTCATGGGACCTTTAAAAGTTTGGGGCCAGTACGATTTTTTGTTTAAGGATGTTAATTCTTTTATTAAGAGGGATGCTTTAAACTGATCAAAAGTGATAGTAAAGACATTGTGTGTGATAAGAAATAATGGTAACACTTTACAATAAGGTTCATTAGTTAACATTAGTTAACTACATTAGTTAACATGTACAATATGTGAACAATACTTCTTCAGCATTTATTAATCTTAGTTAATATTAATCCCAACATTTACTAATACGTTATTAAAATCAAAGGTTGTATTAGTTAACATTAGTTAATGGACTGTGAACTAACATGAACGCACAATGAATAGCTGTATTTGTATTAACTAACATTAACAAAGATTAATAAACACTGTAACTAATGCATTGCTCATCGTTAGTTCATGTTAGTTAATGCATTTACTAATGTTAACTATAATGAACCTTATTGTAAAGTGTTACCGAAATATTTCTGCTGAAAATTCAGCCTTGCCATCACGGTAATAATTTTTTATTTATTTATTTTTTTTAATTCATTTTGGAAAAACAAATAAATGCAGACTTGGCAAGGAGCGGGAATGACCCATAGTTGTTTAGCATACAAAAACATGGTCATTTATTACTATTACTTTTGGCACATTTTTGGTTCCTGAAGCACCATATGGTTAGACTAGTAATTTCTTCAGTAATCTACTTCTCAAGTGTATTCTTATCATATTTTTGGGCGATATGACTGGACACATGCATTTGATTGTGATCCAAATATCAACACCTTGTTCCACTAAAAACTGGCACAGAAACAAAGTGTTGAGCTTTGCCAATATTGTTGATCCCCTTTTTATTTAATTCCCACAAAATGCTCTCCCATATTTTCCTCATTTTCATCCAAGGGGAAGAAAACCAGTCAGAATTATTCATAAGACAATACTTATTCATTATTCATCACACCATACGTGTTGCGTATGCGGAAATGAGCATTCTCTTTTTGTCAAGAGCAAAGCGTTTTAATGTATTTCAAAGCTGTGGCAATTTTGGGAGGTGATTTATACAATAACGACAGAGGAGGCAAGAAGGTTTCCTTCGTCTCAGACTCA